CTTTACTGTTGTAAATTTTGTAACAAACTAGTTTCTTCTTACATTCATCACATTTGAATCCATTACACAATATCAAAGAGACTTGCTCACTTTTAGGGATTCCCATCACTCGGTGATATACTTAGGCGAATCGGCTTGGAGAATCGAAGTAGTGGTGCTCGAGTAATATCAGGTTTTCCAATCAAAGAGAAGTCATACTTTGTGACTAGATGATGAATAAAGATAGCAATTTGAAGCCTAGCAAACTCTGCTCCTGCGCAGAGTCTTGCACCACCTCCAAATGCCATAAACGTTTTAGAACCCGAAATCAATTCTTTCCCTTCCCATCTCCATGGATTAAACTCGCATGGCTTTTCATAGATTTGAGAGTCATTATGAAGAACAGATGGAACAAGTAATACAATCCATCCTTTTGGAATTGTATAGCCTGCGACCCAAAAAAACGTTTTCGAAATGGATCATTTGGTTAACAAGCTTGTAGTATATGGTGCAAAAGAGAGAATCATACTTGCCTTTGATCTCTACGTCACTCACCGCCTTTCTAAACATAGCTGGTGACAAACTTCCTAGACGAAGAGACTCGTTGATAACCTGCACAATTGAATCAACCAACCAAATACATTTCAATTACTGATGGATGCATATCAATCAACCAAATGCATAACAACTTTGAAATGTCAATGTATAAGAAAACAAAGAAGGTACCATATGAGTAAAACTCATCATGGATCTGTATTCTTTCCAAGTAACTCCAAAATCTTTATTTCCTCTGTTTTGGAGAATGGTCTCATGCTCTCGCTGTTTAACATAGTTAAGTTTAAGCATAGCTAAAAGAATCAAACTTCTCAATTGGTTATTCATCTATGCAAGTTATACCTTCAACTCCATAAGCACTTTGGGGTTTTCAGCTATGAATTTCACAGTTATTGCAGTCATAGTTGAAGTAGTTTCATAAGAAGCAATCAGTAAACTTAATATTAGCTCTACGGATCTTTCCTCGTTAACCGTATCGCCTTCTTTCTCAACCTCATCTATCATTATCTCCATGAAGTCTCCATATTTTAACTCGTTCGATGTTGCTCTTTCTCTCCTCTCTTCAAACATTCCATTTATCATCTTCATCGCATTTCTACGTGCCTTTAGATCGTAAATATGGATGCAGAGTGTTGATAAACCACTAAACTAATCGTTGAGATTAAAAATCAATGGACAAGAGATCTTACCATAAGACCAATGTAAAGAGACTTCCAAAAAGAAGGATCAAAAGGAGACCTAACCAAATCAAAGCTAAAATCTCTAAAGTTTTCTATAAGTTTTCTCTTATCCTCAGGTTTGATGTCACTTATGATCCTCTGGATCATTTGTTCCATTATCAACTGCAATAATAAAAAAAAACTCAATCAAAACAGAGAAGTGAGTAACATTTTTGTTGATTCTTGATCAGTCTTAAGGGATGTTATACTCTTCCAATGGTATCTTTGACGTCTAAGATGCCTTGGGAAGATTCAGATTTGAGATGCTCGCGTGTCGCTAGATCGATTTTGTGTATAAATCTCTGCTTTAAACACTCGGGACCGAGAAGTTGCAGAGCGATCTGTCTCATGTACATGTGGGAGTCCTTGCCTTGCTTGAAGAACAAGTTATCTTTCCCAAAGATCCTAACAAGAGCTTCTGGATAGCTAATGATGAAACACTTGTTCTCTTGTTTGAAAATCTCAAAGTTCACTTCAGGATCTGTCGAAACAATCGTCTTAGATCCGAGGATATTCGTCCGGAACAAAGAACCGTGCCTGAAAGCACAAACGAGAGAGAAACAATCAGAGAAGAAAGAAGAGAAATGAGAACAGAATCTTGAAACCTGAAAATATTTAATTGAAACCAACTTTGACATTCTTTTCTTGACAAATGGAGGGATTTCGTCGAAATTGTAGGGTTTGAAGAACTCAATGGTTTCTCCGATCACCGGAAACCCCATTGAGCCCGGAGGTATCTTGCTGGAGAAGTTAGGGTTAGCCCATCTATAGAGCCAGAAACTGATCTTGCCGACCACTAAAGCTATAACAACACATAGTGCAACAGCCCACATTTTTTTCTCTCTTAATTTCTTTATTAATTAACGATTGG